TCGTTATTCATTTTTGTACATTTTGCTTTCTCTTCTCAGGTGTAGTCTCCATAAAATTCATACCACCAAGTCACTTGTGAACCACCACCATAGTCTCTTGTGCTCTACCTGCTCCCATTTAATCTCACTCTGTTCCCCTCCCCTGCTGAAATTGCCTGCTAATTTTGTCATTTTTTTCCCACTGTTTCCTTTTTTGGTTCCCCTATAAGTGAAACCATCTGATGATTTTCTTTTTCCTTCTGACTTAATTCACTGAGCATAAACCCCTCCAGCTTCATCCATTTTGCTACAAATGGCATGAGATTATCTTTTTTGATTGCTGGATAGTATTCCATTGTGTGTAATATACTACATTCATAATCATCATCTGTTTTTGGGCATTTAGATTGTCTCCATATCTTAGCTATTGTAAACAGTGCTGTAATAAACATAGGAATGCTGATTTCCTTTTGAATTAAGGGTTATGTGTCTTTTGGGTAGATTCCTAGGAGTGGAATTGCTGGTTCATAGGGCAGCTTTATTTTTAGTAATTTAAGGAAACTCCACACAGCTTTCTTTAGTGGCTGGATCAGTTTGTATTTTCACCAGCATTGTAAAAGCAGTCCTTCTTCACTACATTTTAGCCAGCATTTGTTGTTGACGTTTTTAAATAAGTGCATTCACACTGGTGTGAAATGGTATCTCATTGTGATTTTGATTTACACTTCCTTGATTTTAAGTGATTCTGGGCATGTTTTCAAATACCTGTTGGCCATTTGTAGGCATTCTAATTTTTTTTTAACGATTTATTTATTTATACATTCAGAACTGGGGTGTAGGCCAGAGGTGTAGGGGTAGTGAGAGGATTCACCAGAGACAGTGGGGAGCAGTGGGTGAGACAAGAGAGTTCTGCTGTGTCATGTGGGTCACCGCTGGAGCAGGGATCTAACTTGCGCTGAAGCAGCTAGCTTGCGGTGCTACATCCTAACCCATTGGGCCACCAGGGAGGGATGACACTCTAATTTTTAAAAGAACATTCATAACCATATTGTTGTGTCTTATCAGTATATCTCTAATATATAGGGCATATATTAACCTGATTAAAAAAAAGAGAAAACTGAAGCTCAGCATGGGAATATTATCACACAGGCATTGAGGCATTTTGGCTACTTAGGGGCACTATTACTGATTAGCTAGGTGGCAGGTTACTGAAGCTCTCTAAACCTCTGTTACTTTATCTGTAAGTTGGAAATAACATTAATTGCCGTGAAGTTAGGGGAAATAACTTACAAGTAAAGTACTATAAGCGTAGTGCCTATTTTATGAATTGCACTAAAAAATGTTAATTTTTGGGTGAGTTGAAGTTTGGAGAAATAAACTTCTCCAAGCTCTATAGATGTTTGATTATCATCACATCATCATTTCCATTTTCATATCCTGGACGCCCACTTAACTTGACTTTTTGTAACTAGAGCTCTACATACTGGCTTTTACACAAGGCCAAATTTCTTTGTTCTTTTCATGCCATGTTCTTTCTCATTCTCTTCAAATCCTACTGGGCACACATTTATTTGAGCAAATCCAACTTAATTTCAACCTGGAGAAAAGTGCCATTCCCCATTCTGTACCCCAGTTCCAATATATACAGGAAAATCATGCCATAGTGAGATTTACAGAAAAAATTTAAAATTTTGTTAAAAAGTTCTATTTTTCTTCTTTCCACTTATTTTTCTTCTTTCCACTAGACTTCGCCATATTGAATTCTAGTCTAGACTTAGAGCACTTAAAAATATACCTGATTAGACCCTCCCTGGTGGCGCAGCGGGTTAAAAAGCACAGCACTGAGAAGCTAAAGCCACTTCCGCATGAGTTCGATTCCCACCTGCCCCGGAGGTGACCACATGGTGTGGCAGACCTCTCCTGGCCCACCCACTGCTCCCCTCAGCAGTGTACTTTGTAGATCTGCCTGTTCTGCTCCCCACTCTGTCTCCAGTGAAGCCTCTCACTGCCCCTGGGCCTCTGGCCTGCACCCCAGTTCTATATGAACAAATAAATCTTTAAAAAAAAAAACCTGATTAAATTAATATTATATAACTAATCAAACAGCCATCAGTTAACACCAGGTAACTTGTTTTAATATCACCTTAAATCAGTAACTAGCTTAGTAAAATGGCATAGAGTATGAATTTCCAAATATCTCTACCTACTGCATTCCTTATACAATAGCTCATTTTTTTTCTCTAAGGATTTGAATATAAATGCATGTTAAATGTGACATTATTTCAGTCAACATCCCTATAGCAATTGAATTATTGGGAATGATACCAATGAGAAAAAAAATGAAGTTTTATTTAAAAAATTCCTTATTGATTTCATAAAGAGAGGAGAATATTTCAGCTATGAAGTGTAGAATTTGTACTATATTGACAACTTTCTAATGGAAAGGGGGTAGGTGGATTTAAGACTTGACATTGGACAGCGTGGTGAAGGGGAAAGTCCTGGTCCAGCAAGTGGGAAATGAATTTATTGCTTTGTAATTTATCAGCTAGCTGAGTGACTTGGATTAGGCATTTAACTCCTTTCGACCTCAAGTCTCATATTCTTTCAATGAGGAAGTTGTATTGATAATCCTCAGAGTTCCTAACCTATGTAAAATTTCATATTATAGTCAACATTTAGTTTCTACTGTCTGCCATTTGAAAGCATTGTACTACTAGATGCTAATTATACTGGTTTGATTATTCACAAAAATTGTGAGGCAGTGAGATATAGCTAAGAATGAGCTTTACCTCTCTATCCTTAAGCTGTTTGCTGACTCCCAACTATGATCTGCAGAAATTATTTTCTATGTCTATATTTGAAAATAATTATCTGACTCAACTGCAAGTGATGTTAAAAGACAACAAAGTGGAATATTCTAAAATATCTGTGGATTCCATGTGCCAGTGGAGTGCTGGGTGTCAGGACAAAGTAGCTGGCAGTTCCCTCATGTAACTTAACCATTACATATACTAGCATAAGGTTAGCTGCAAACAAATCAAGAGAGCAAATAGCAAGCTAAAACAAATTGTGTGCTTAATTCAGAGGTGTTAAGAAGCAAGACCATTTCTGTGCAAAAAAAAAAAAAAAAAATGTCAGCCCTCTCAGCCCTCGGGGTATCATAAGCTGCAAAAACAAACAAACAAACAAAATATTAAGCTATGAATCTATATATATAATTTATTATTTCCTAAATGTAGACTAGGTTGAAAACATAAATGGGATAAATGTAGGAGCAGTTTTTTTTTTTTTTTTTTTTTTTGCTCAGAATAAAAGCATACATTCTTAGCATTAGATCTGCTGAAAAGGAATGGACTAGCTGAGATTCAGGAGGTAGCTCTCATCTCTGTGGGGCCCTGCTGAAAGGTTCTCACAGGTTAAAGGCCCTCCATAGGTATGAAACTGTTGTCTAGAGAAGGCTCCTTCTCTCATCAAGTGGCTAAAGTCAGGTCAAATTCAGAGACTATGATTAGATAAAGTGACTAATACAGTTTAAATGATAGGAACCCGATAGATAGAAAATTGTAAGGGTGAACTTGATTAACGAGATATTAAGAATTAAGAGGAATGAAGTCCAGTATGGTGTGGACACTGACTTGATCCAGTTCTTTCAAGTGTCTTCGTTTTTAGCGTAACATTTATGCCCTGATTTGAAACCTTCATGTCAGAACTCTAAAACTCAAAATCCTTGGCTGTAGAAAGCTAAAACCGTAACCACACGAGTAGTCTGCGGTGTCATCTGTTCTCTGAGGGGGATGGGGAATGCCCAGGCTGCCAGCTGGGGCCTTGGGAAACAGAAAGGTGCAGTGTGCTAAGGGCTAGGGAGCAATCAATCCTCCGTTAACATCTGCCACAACATTGATACGTCTGTCGAGGGCGTTTGAAAGGACTGAAAGAAACTGCTCGGAATTCATGAAAATGATACGAATTCTTGACTTTTGAAGCTCAACGGTTAGAAGAATTCACCCAAACCAACGTCCTCTGTGGAGTAACAGCCAGCTTCGCTTTCTGGATCGCCTCTCAATGTCAACGACTTAGATTCTCTTCGTTTCCTGCGATTGTCCTTCGAGGACTGCTCACCTGCCCCCTGGACTTGCGGACGTGCCAGACGAGCCCGACGAGCCCGACGCTCCCTGTGTGGCCTCAGATCTCCTAGTGGGCTGTCTGGGCAGTGCAGACGTGTAAGGAGCGGCAGTGCTCGTGTCACTGGAAGCCTTAGATCAGCCCATCAGTGACGAAGGGCGGAAAAGTGTGTGGACTCTGGAAAAGAAGTGCATTTCGAAAATGGGGAGAGGACGGACTGCACAAGAAAAGGGACTCTCTTCCTCACCGGAGGGGTTGCTGGTAAAGCAGCCGCGGCAGTTCTTTATTCATATTTCAGCCGTAGGCAGCGGGCAGCGACAGAAGTCCCAGTCTAAGTTCCGCACGGACTGGGCTCCTGCGGGGAACCGCTCTGAGGCGTGAAAGACAAGCTGGACAGCCAGTCGCGCCGCGCTAGGGAAAAGCAGGCGACCCCACTCCGTACAGCGGGAATCCGGATGCCCCAACCGCGCTCTCGCGGCTCGATTCTTCTGGGAACACTTCGCGTGCTTTGTTTCAGAGGCCGACCCTTCTTCCTCGGTTGGTCTGCGGCTCCACCAATCGCGCGCCCGGCGGGGCGGGGCTTCAGGGTCAAGGTGGACCTATTCCCCAGCCTCGCCCCTACACGCGCTTTCGGACCCCTGGGGATGAGTGACAGCAGCCGAGTCCAACCTGCGGTCCCAGAGCGTGGCCTCCGCCAGGGGCGTTACAGGGACGAGGCACCAGGACCAATCACTTTGGCCCTCAGGGGGCGGGGCCTGCTTGCCAGCTCCAGAGCGGCGCTCGGCTCTCCTTTTGTCAAATGAGGGACGCCGGGGGGCGGTCCCTCAGCCTAGCCTCAGCCAATGGCAGAGGTAAGGTGGGCGGGCCGGGAGTGCCCGGCGGCGGGTCCTCAGCTCGGATCCAAGGTGCGGCGAGCCGGTGGGGGGACCGCGAGGCTAGCGCGGGAGCCTGGGCGGCGAGCGGGCTGGGAGCTGCCCGAAAATGCACTCGGATGCCACCGCTGTCAGTGAGTAACAGGGAGCGAGTGGGCCAGGGCCAGGCGGCTGGCAACACTCTCCACCCGACTCCCGCAGTCCCCGCCCCGCGCCTCCCGTCCCGAAAAGCGCTGGGAGCCCCGGCCCTGGAGCCACCCCTTCCCCTCCAGGGGCCGGGGCGGACGGTGACGCCGCGGGCAGCGTGGGGCGGGGGTGGGAGCGGGGGAAGGGGCCGGCCTGCCGGGGGAGGGCGGAGGTGAGGGGGGTGGGGACTGGCTTCATTTCAGTGTTGGGGGAAGGGGGGGCGGGACGTGCGATGAAGGGCCGGGACTGGAGTGTCGGGGGTGAATGGAGGTGGCGGCGGCTGCCGGCGCTGGCGGGTTGGCCTGGGGGGTGGCAACGGTGGGGGGTGGAGTGGAGAGGGAGGGAGCGAGAGAGCGAGCGGGGCGCAGGGGTGAGGATTTCCTAGGGGCTGATCGGTGCGGGCGGCTCCGTGAGAAAGGCGGGTGAATGTTGGGGGAGCGCGGGGGCGGGGACAATGGGAAGAAGGCTGGATGGGGGTGGGAGGAACAATGGGGTGGGGGAATGGGGGCAGCGGCCGAGTGGGGCTGGAGGGCAGGCTTGGAGAGAAGGGCTGATGTAACGGGAGAGCGAGATGGTGGGAGGGATCTGGGTGTGATGTGGGATAGTTGGGGAGTCTGGTGGACGGGCGGCAGGGGTATAGGACGGGGTGGTGGGATAACTGGGAGTGGTGAGTGGGGGCAGACGTTAGGGTAATAGGATGGAGCAGGTGTTCGGAAGACAGGATAATTGGGAGTAAGAGAAGAAGTGTAGGGAGAATTTGGGGTGGCTGGATGGGGGCAGGGGTAGGGGAGGTGATGTGGGGGTGAAGCGCTAGTTGGGAGGAAAGGACGGGTGGGAGGGGTCGGAGATGGGGGAGGACTGTCACGTCTGGATTTGGTCTGCAAGGGGCTGGGGAGGGGGTTGTCAGACTGAGTTTGGGGGAGGTGCTTCCTCCACCCCCCCCCCCATTAAGGCTGGGTCCCAGGAAGGCGGGGGGAAGCCAGAGTCTCCAGTGAGGGGTGAGAAGGGGGCGGGACTGGGGTGGAGGGGGCGGGGGAGATGCCCCGGGGTTGGCCCCAGTGGTGGTTCCCCCGGGTGCGGGCGGGAAGCGAGGTCAGCACTGGCGCGGGATCAGGCTGCGGGACTGAGGTGGGGGGTGGGGGGGCGGGGCAGGGGCGCGGGCTGCGGGCTGCGGGTTTTTCGAGGCGGGAGCTGCAGGGGTCGGGCCCTGGAAGCTGGATGGGGGGTTTCGCGCAGGGGAGGTGTCGGGGTCCCTGGCGGTCCTTGGGGTTAGCAGTCTGTGACGCAGTTATCTAATTTCTGGTCGTCAGGTGTGGAGACCTGTGTCTCAGGGACCTGCTTCCCTGCCGGGATATTCGGACTGTAACTCCCCACACCCACTCGCTCCGCGCCTCGGGAACTCGACCTCTCCCAGGCGTTCGGGGAGAGCGCTTTAGGGGTTTCCTTTAGGGTCTGGCACCAGTAGCCGGGTGTGAAAGGGAAAGGCTGTCCTGGGGAATTCTGGGATTTGTAGTCCCAGCCGCGCGGGGCCGCTGTTGGGTTGGGTGCACGTGGGTAACTGTGGAAACGAGTCCCACAATGCAGCGCTCCTTTCTGAGCCTCCCAGCTCTGCTAACTCGTGCATTATTCCCGGTGGACGGGAGCGCTCTCGGTAGAGGCGCTCCTGTCCCCTGGGATTGCAACGGTTCTCCAGACGTCCTCCCAGTGTCAGCAGGAGGGGAAGAACCAAGCCAAGTGCAGTCTTTTAGCACTTGGGTTCTTGATTCTCGAGTTAATTATTTCCCTCTGGCATTTGGTGGCCTTATTTGTAGACTCCACGCTTAGACTAACCATCTAGCACACATGTTGTGGAGAAACATTCAGGATGCAACATAATCTGAAGCAGCGCTTGGGATGGTGCATTTATTGTGGCAACTACTGTGTGCAATACTGGTTAAAAGGTTTGGTGTTCGATATCTGGGAATATAGAGATAAATGCAACCCTTGTGAAGATAAGTGTTTTATTTTTTTTATTTTTGGGGCTGATCGGATTGCCCAAGAATAAGGGGACTTTGAGAAAAGGTTTCGAAATGAAATTAGGGAGACAACTTAATGGAATTTAGGGTTGAAATAGTCCCAGTCATAAGGCTGCAATGAAAATGTGTAGAGGAGAGGATTCAGTTTTCAAAGAAGCAAATGGCACTAGGGGAGAGTAAACCCGGTGGAGGAGGTCCTGTGTTTTTGTTTATAGCTGCAGCTGTAATTCCTTCTCTCTACCTCTTTAAAATTAGAGACAGTTTCTCAGGCTGTCGACTGGCCAGACATTACATTCTCTGCTGGTTCCTTTTACTTTTTCCATGCTTTGACTCCAGAATCTGGATGTAGAGAGCAGGGGGCATTAGGTCAGAGATGACAGATTATTGTGTGGTATGTAAGATATGAAAGTATTGATAACTAGAACAAAATAATAATAACCTAATGATTAAAATTTCACCAAGAAGTCCTAATATTTAAACGTTGATGTAGTTACAAATATAAACCTATGTACTTAGTTGAACCATGGTTGTCTTCATGTTGTCTGAAAAATTGTTCAGTGTTTTTCCAGAAAAGATCTATCTAATATTTTACTCAAGCTTGGGGTGAAATATCCGTGAAAACCTTAGAGACATGCAAATATATAGTGTGAACATGTTTTTTATCATGTCTGATTAATCCTGGAATTTGCTCTCACAGAGCAAAGCAAGAGAGTAAAGTATATGAATTGAAAATGAGCTATAACTGTCTTCAAGGTGGTGTTTTTAAATAGTTAAAATACTTAACTGGCATACACACCACCTTCCTCTCCATTATCCTGACAAACCCTAGGTTCCTATACATTGTGGCTTTTCTGCTCCTGTTTGGGTTAGGTTCTTCCTTGATTTTTGGTCTTGGGAGGTTCTCAATTTTCTTGTGATCTTAGCGATGCATTTAAACAATTATTTCTTACACTTCACTCAGAGTTTTTGGCAGTGCATTTGGAGGTAGATTGTTAGGTTATCTGGTCCATAACATTGGCAGAAAGAAAAATTCCCTGATTTTTTCCACCTTAGAGTGCTTCTGTACATTTACTTTTCATATTTCCACCTGTAAGATGCATGCTTTCTTGTTTTAGCTGCTCCCAGCAGCTCTTCTTACTGCTTTCCTCTTGACCAGTAATACGTGTCAGCATTATTTTCATCTCAACATAGTAATCTTGTTAGTTAGCAGTATAAAAATTAACCTTTCAGAAACTGACCATGGTGATGTGATCTCTGTTGCATGCTAGTTGGCAAAAAACAATACTCAACTAGGTGGCTTAAATAACCTTACCTTATTGTTGTTTAGTAGCAAAATTTGTATAGATGGGTAGTTTTGATGCTGGTCCATTGTCTGGATGATAGGCTCTAGATGCCTTCCACCCTTTTCTTTCTCCAGTCTTAGTATTTTGACTTATCAAAAGCTCTAGGCTAATTACCTCATGGTTTGTGCTATGGTTGCTGCAGCACCAGACGTCATACCTGTGTAAGAAAGGGTTGAAGGGGCATATTCCTGTTAAAGATGGGTCTTCTTCCTGAAAATCGTCTTACAGATTTCTCCATTAGCCTCATTGGGTAGAACTGATCTCTTGCCACTGCCTGTTGTGAGGGAGGTTGAGAAATTGAAAGTCTAGCATTTTCAGCTTCTGATATGGGATGTGATCTTTGTTAGGGTGGACGAAGAATGAGTAGAATGCTCGGAGTTGGCAACTAATAAATAGGTTATGTGCCTAAACTGTCTACTTTGTTCAACTGTCTCTGGCTTGGTCTCTGTCTTTTTTTTTTTATTACAAAGTTTATTTTTACATCATTTTGCACATTTTTTTTT